ATTAGTGTAAAAGCTAGAGGAGTAGGCAGGATTAACAGGAAAGGCACTGCAATGAATCAGAGAACAAATGCCAGGAAGGAAAAAACGAGTGATGGTACGTGACGAGGTGTCAGTGTGGGCGCCTGTGACGAGCGGGGTTCCACAAGGGTCAGTCCTAGGGCCGGTGCTGTTTCTGGTATATGTGAATGAAATGACGGGAGGGATAAATTCAGAGGTGTCCCTTTTTGCAGACGATGTGAAGCTAATGAGGAGAATTCAAACAGATGAGGATCAAGTAGGACTATAAAGGGATCTGGACAGGCTACAAGCCTTGGTCCAACAACCGGCTCCTGGTCTTTAACCCTACCAAATGAAGACAGGAGGATCAAAGAAGATCAAAGAGTACTGGCTAGGGGCCAAGAACTGCAAACCTCACTCAAGGAAAAGGCTCTTGGGGCCAGTATAATACCAAGAACGTCTTCTGAGGAGCACATCAACCAAATAACTGCTGCAGCATATGGACGTCTGGCAAACATAAGAATAGTGTTTCGAAACGTGAGTAAAGAGCCATTCAAGACACTATACCATATACGTCAGGCGCATATTGGAGTATATAGCACCAGTATGGATCAAACACCTGGTCAAACACATCAAGAAATTTGAGAAAGTGCAAAGGTTTGCAACAAGACTAGTCCCAGAGCTAAGAGGCATGTCCTACGAGGACAGGTTGAGGGAAATCATCCTGACGACACTGGAGAACAGGAGGGTTAGGGTTGACATGATAACGACAAAGTGGATAGGAACAGGATGTTTCAGATATGGGACACAGCAACAAGGGGTCACAACTGAAAGTTGAAAACTCAGATGAGTCGCAGGGATGTTAGGAAGTATTTCTTCAGCCATTGATTGTCAGGAAGTGGAACAATCTGGTGAGTGATGTAGTGGAGGCAGGATAAGATAAGATAAATTTTCTTCGGATTTTTAACCCCGGAGGGTTAGCCACCCAGGATAACCCAAGAAAGTCAGTGCGTCATCGAGGACTGTCACTTATTTCCAGTGGGGTCCTCAATCTTGTCCCCCAGGATGCTACCCACATCAGTCGACTAACACCCAGGTACCTATTTTCTGCTAGGTGAACAGGACAACAGGTGTAAGGAAACTCGTCGAAATGTTTCCACCCGCCGGGAATCAAACCCGGGCCCTCCGTGTGTGAAGCGGGAGCTTTAGCCACCAGGCTACTAGGCCACACAATCCATACACAGCTTTAAGAAGAGGTACGATAAAGCACATGGAGTAGGAAGAGAATGGAGTAGTAACGACCAGGGAAGAGGCGGGGCCGGAAGCTGTGAGTCGACCCATGCAACTACAAATAGTTGAGTACACACACACATAATATAAATATATATATATATATATATATATATATATATATATATATAATATATATATATATATATATATATATATATATATATATATATTTATTATCACACTGGCCGATTCCCACCAAGCAGGGTGGCCCGAAAAGAAAAACTTTCACCATCATTCACTCCATCACTGTCTTGCCAGAAGGGTGCTTTACACTACAGTTTTTAAACTGCAACATTAACACCCCTCCTTCAGAGTGCAGCACTGTACTTCCCATCTCCAGGACTCAAGTCCGCCTGCCGGTTTCCCTGAACCCCTTCATAAATGTTACTTTGCTCACACTCCAACAGCACGTCAAGTATTAAAAACCATTCGTCTCCATTCACTCCTATCAAACACGCTCACGCACGCCTGCTGGAAGTCCAAGCCCCTCGCACACAAAACCTCCTTTACCCCCTCCCTCCAACCTTTCCTAGGCCGACCCCTACCCCGCCTTCCTTCCACTACAGACTGATACACTCTTGAAGTCATTCTGTTTCGCTCCATTCTCTCTACATGTCCGAACCACCTCAACAACCCTTCCTCAGCCCTCTGGACAACAGTTTTTTGGTAATCCCGCACCTCCTCCTAACTTCCAAACTACGAATTCTCTGCATTATATTCACACCACACATTGCCCTCAGACATGACATCTCCACTGCCTCCAGCCTTCTCCTCGCTGCAACATTCATCACCCATGCTTCACACCCATATAAGAGTGTTGGTAAAACTATACTCTCATACATTCCCCTCTTTGCCTCCAAGGACAAAGTTCTTGTCTCCACAGACTCCTAAGTGCAACCACTCACCCTTTTCCCCCTCATCAATTCTATGATTCACCTCATCTTTCATAGACCCATCCGCTGACACGTCCACTCCCAAATATCTGAATACGTTCACCTCCTCCATACTCTCTCCCTCCAATCTGATATCCAATCTTTCATCACCTAATATTTTTTGTTATCCTCATAACCTTACTCTTTCCTGTATTCACTTTCAATTTTCTTCTTTTGCACACCCCACCAAATTCATCCACCAATCTCTGCAACTTCTCTTCAGAATCTCCCAAGAGCACAGTGTCATCACAAAGAGCAACTGTGACACTCCCACTTTATGTGTGATTCTTTATCTTTTAACTCCACGCCTCTTGCCAAGACCCTCGCATTTACATCATTACAACCCCATCTATAAATATATTAAACAACCATGGTGAGATCACACATCCTTGTCTAAGGCCTACTTTTACTGGAAATAATTTTCCCTCTTTCCTATGTACTCTAACATATAAATATATATATATATAATATATATATATATATATAATATATATATATATATATAATATATATATTTATATATATATAAAATATATATATATATATATATATATATATATGTCGTGCCGAATAGGCAGAACTTGCGATCTTGGCTTAAATAGCAACGCTCATCTTGCCATACAGGACAAGTGAAAATTTGTGTATGCAATAATTTCAACCAAAATCATTCTGAACCTAACGAAAAAAATATATTTGATTGTGTTTGTTTAGCACTAAATTATTGTAAACGTATTTAAAAATATTTAGTTGGGTTAGGCTAAAATAAATTGTTCTTGTTATAATGAGGTTAGGTAAGTTTTCTAAGATTCTTTTGGTGCAAAATTAAAAATTTTTACATTAACATTAATGAAAAAAATATATCTTTAAACGTATAAGAGAAAATTTCAGAAAGGACTTAATTTTAAATGAGTTCTTGCTAATTGACCAGTTTTTACATATTCGGCACGACATATATATATATATATAATATATATATATATATATATATATATATATATATATATATATATATATATATATATGTCGTGCCGAATATGTATTGGCTGAAATAGCAATACTCTTCTTGCCGAATAAAGCAAGCGAAAATTTGTGTATGAACCTAATGAAAAATATATTTCATTGTGTTTATTTATTATTAAATGATCGTAAACTTATCTAAAATATATTTAGTTGGATTAGGCTAAATTAAATTGCGCTTGTTATAATAAGGTTAGGTAAGTTTTATAAGGTTCTTTTGGTACAACATTATTAATTTTTACATTAAAATAAATGAGAAAAAATATATCTTTAAATGTATAAGAGAAAATTTTAGAAAAGACTTAAGTTTAAATTGTGATGTAGTTCAACTGTGCTTTTTAGGCTGCTAAAGGACACCTAATTTAACCTAATTAAATGGCCACACCTTGCCTTTTCAAATAGCTGTCAGACACGCCTTTTGGCTTAAGTCTGAGGTCTTTTCTTCTTGACGGCGTCAGATCTCGGCGTTAGGTCAAAACATGTGGTGCACACCCCATTGTGGGGGGAGTGCTTTGAGGACCATATAAGCCCATGGAACAACTGAGAAAGGAGATTTCGAGCGGAGCTCTGGCCTGTGTGCAGAGCTCGGGAGAAGGCAGCTAGAGTCTCTGGAGGAGACTTGGTTGGAGACAGTGGGGCAGAGTACTGGCCTGGAGCAGTACTCGGCTGTGTAGGTCTTGGAACCTGTGGCTAGTGTGTGACCTAGCTCCTGTGGTGAACTGTCCTCTGAACTATATTGTAAGTTATATTCTATTTCGTCTGTTGATTGTATTCCCTGTCTCACTGCTTATGTATACAATTCCCATTTATCTAAACCACAATAATGTTCTCCTGTTCCCAAGCATATTATTGTACGAGGACTTAATAACAAACTGTGTTTGAGTAGTAATATTCACTGTCCCCGTTATTCATTCTTTTATTCATTAACTTATTTCAAGTAGTGAGAGGGTGAATAGTGTGGTGAGAGGTGATGCTCCAGTGACCTTACATTACCTCCGCCTCTAATCACTCGACTCACCTCTCTTGCATATCCCCTGCCTACTCCCTTCTGATTATTCCCTTTTTCTCCCATATTCCCCAATTAGAGATTCGTCCATTACCACCCCCCCCCCCCCTACATGACATGGTGGCAGCGGTGGGATGTTAATTGACCAATTTTACATATTCGCAAGACATTATATATATATATATATATAATATATATAATAATATATATATAATATATATATATATATATATCACAAACACTCAAAATCACTCTACTGTAGCACCAATAATCACTAGCACCAATCATGAGCCTAACATCAATCATGAGCCTAGCACCAATCATGAACCTAGCATCAATGATGAGCCTAGCACCAATCATGAACCTAGCACCAATCATGAGCCTAACATCAATCATGAGCCTAGCACCAATCATGAACCTAGCATCAATGATGAGCCTAGCACCAATCATGAACCTAGCACCAATCATGAGCCTAGCATCAATCATGAGCCTAGCACCAATCATGAGCCTAGCACCAGTCATGACCGTAGCACTAATAATGAACCTAACACCAATCATGAACCTAACACCAGTCGTGCACCTAGCACCAATAATGAGCCTAGCACCAATCATGAACCTAGCACCAATCATGACCGTAGCACTAATAATGAACCTAGCACCAATCATGAACCTAACACCAGTCGTGAACCTAGTACCAATAATGAGCCTAGCACCAATCATTAGCCTAGCACCAGTCATGAGCCTAGTTGACTCACCGTCTGTGTGGAAATGTCTGGATATCGTAACCGCTCCCGGAACTCCATTGCTAGAGTCACTGGTTCTTCACATGCGTTGAATGGCCTCACCTGTTATTAATATTGTTATTATTATGTGAAATAGAGGTATTATTATATTCAAGGGAAAGCACTAAACCTGCATGTTGTCATACAACACCTAGGGAAGGGGAGGTAATCTGAATGAATCTAATAGTAAGGGAGTTTAGCTCTAATTCAGTGAATTAAGAGCCCTTCCCAAGGCATTAAGGTGTACCTGTTCATTGGAAAGGAAGTTAAAGATGTGTTTAAGAGGGGCAAGCAAGTTTATAATACATTTCGAACGAATTTTGAGGAAATTCTGACGAGTGTAGATGACAATGTCTCTGGGGAAATAGGGAATAGGGAAGTTGAACGTGAAGAGTAAGGAAATATTACTTGGTTTAGGGGGCAGGGAGGTTCCTGGTTTAGAGGAACAGTTTAGAGTAATTATAAGGAAAATCTGAAGGTAATTACGAGGTCTAAGGATTTCTGAAAATTTTCAACGAATTTAAGAATCATTTCAGGAAGTTTTAGGAAAAGATATGGAAAATTCTAAGGAACTTTAAGGGAGTTTTTGGCAGAGATTACTTAAGATAAATTCAGAGTGCAATTTTAGGGGTAATTTAAAAGCACTTACAAAGTCCAGGGATCTGGGAAAGTTTTCGAAGAATTTAGGGATAATTACAAAGAGTTCTTGGAAAAAATAAAGGGGAGATTGTGAAGAATTTTATAAAACATTTAGGGAGGAAGATTACTAACTTTGAGAGTTTAAAACAATAAGAAGTTTGAGTCTTAGGAAAAACTTTAGACACTACGAGTGTTTTATGGGGTGACTTTGTTACATACAGGGGGCGCTAAGGTTTTCACCTCAGCACGGTACACACAGGTGTTGAGGTACACAGTGCTGATGTACTCAGCACGGTACACACAGGTGTTGAGGTACACATAGAGTGCTGATGTACTCAGCACGGTACACACATATATTGAGGTACACACACAGAGTGCTGTGGTACTTAGCACGATGCACTCAGGTGTTGAGGTATACACACACAGTGCTGATGTACTCAGCACGGTACACACAAACTGCAGACATACGGTACACACAAACTGCAGACATACGGCACACACAGGTGTTGAGGTACACAAACTGCCGACATACGGTACACACAGGTGCTGAGGTACACACAAACTGCAGACATACGGCACACACAGGTGTTGAGGTACACACAAAGTGCTGATGTACTCACCTCAACACGGTACACACAGGAGGTGTTAAGAGAGGACCAGTTGGCAGTAAAAGTAGTCTCGGTGTCGTTGACAGCTTCAAGGAGGAAAACTTTAGTAAGGGTGACAGGCGGTCCACACTCTGCCTTCTCTTTGTTGCTAGTCTTGACGTCCCCCGCTGGGCTGACCTGTCAGGCAGTGTGTAACCTTTGTTAGTGTTACACCAGTGTCATGATGATGATGATAAGGAGGAGGAGGAGGAAGAGAGAGAAAGAGAGAGAAAGAAAGAGAAAAGAGAGAGAGAGAGAGAGAACACAAATGATGATGGTCTCTAGGCACCATGATGGTAATGCCGGAGCAGTAGTAAGAATGAATGGGAGAGTGTTGGTACTCGGGGAAAAAGTTGATATCCTTGGGGTGAAATTTGACTCCAAACTGACCATGAAGAACCACGTTGTAAATCTTGCAAATAAGACAGCCAGGAAACATACAACACTTCGATGTACCTCGCATCTGCTCGACAGCAGGGGTTGCAAGATTCTGTACGAGGCACAAGTGTGCTCACTGAATCTGTTTGGTTACAGCTTCTCGAGGGCCGAGAAAAACTAATTTTGGGTGTGATTTACAGGGCCCCAAATCTTGATAGGGAGTGCAGTAAACTTCTATGGGACGAAATTCGTAAGGCATCTACATACGAAAATGTTGTGCTAATGGGAGATTTCAACTAAGACAGACTGACTGGAGCAATTTGACAGGAAATTTAGAGTCAGGTGACTTTCTTGATACGATCCAGGATTGTTTTTTAAAACAGTTTGTGACAGAGCCAACTAGGGGAAATAACCTCCTTGACTTGGTTCTTGCCAGTAGGGAAACACTAATTAATAATCTTGAGGTTAATGATGAGCTTGGGGAAAGTGATCACAAATCACTCAGTTTTAATATATCATGGAATTCCCCTAATAATGGCAATCAAGTCTCTGTCCCTGACTTTCGCTTGGCTGATTTCATAGGACTGAAAAATTACTTAGGTGGGCTGAACTGGAATGACCTGACTAAGGGTCAGGTAGGTGGTGATGGTTGCCGATATGACGCTTTCCAGGGCATAGTTCCAGCTGCTCAGTTAAATTATGTTCCAAATAGGGAAATCAGATCAAACAAAAATGATCCTAAATGGATGAACAATAGACTAAAATATCTGATTGGTCAGAAGAGAGGCATATATAGGCAAATCAAAAGAGGAGAGGGGCAATTAAGAAATCGATATATTCAGTTAAAGAGAGAAATAAAAAAAAAGAATTAGAAAAGCAAAACGAGATTATGAGGTTAAAGTTGCAAGAGAATGGAAGACTAACCCAAAAGGATTCTCTCAGGTATACAGAAGTAAGATCAGGGACAAGATAGGCCTACTCAAAAGTTCCTCGGGTCAGCTCACTGACAGTGATAAGGAAAAGTGTAGAATTTTTAACACATACTTCCTCTCAGTTTTTACACAGGAGGATACCAGCGATATTCCAGAAATGATAAATTATGTAGAACAGGACGATAATAAACTGTGCACGATTAGGGTCACAAGTGACATAGTCCTTAGGAAAATAGATAAATTAAAACCTAACAAATCCCCAGGCCCTGATAAACAGTATGCAAGGGTTCTAAAGGAATGTAAAGAGGAGCTTAGCAAACCTTTGGCTAATCTTTTCAACATATCACTACAAACTGGCATGGTGCCAGATAAGTGGAAAATGGCAAATGTGATACCTATTTTCAAAGCAGGTGACAGGTCCTTAGCTTCGAACTATAGACCAATAAGCCTAACCTCCATAGTGGGAAAATTTATGGAATCAGTAATTGACGAGGTAGTTCGTAGCCACCTTGAAAAGCATAAATTAATCAACGAATCTCAGCATGGTTTTACAAAGGGGCGTTCCTGCCTTACGAATTTATTAACTTTTTTCACTAAGATATTTGAGGAGGTAGATCATGGTAATGAATATGATATTGTGTATATGGACTTCAGTAAGGCTTTTGACAGGGTCCCAAACATCAGAGACATTGGGGAAAAATTTTAAAGGCACAGGGAATAGGAGAGAAATTTTTTTTCCTGGATAGAGGCATGGTTGACAAATTGGCAACAGAGAGTTTGCATAAAAAGGGGAGAAATCAGAGTGGGGGAAACGTCACGAGCGGTGTTCCACAGGGGTCAGTGTTGGGGGCCCCCCCCTTGTTCACAATCTACATACACGACATAGATGAGGGCATAAAGAGCGACATCGGCAAGTTTGCCGATGACACCAAAATAGGCCGTCGAATTCATTCTGACGAGGACATTCGAGCACTCCCCGGAAGATTGAATAGACTGATGCAGTGGTCGGAGAAGTGGCAGATGCAGTTTAATATAGACAAATGCAAAGTTCAAATGTTGGACAGGACAATAACCATGCCACATATAAACTAAATAATGTAGATTCTTAATATTACGGATTGCGAAAAAGATTTAGGAGTTCTGGTTAGCAATAATCTGAAACCAAGACAACAGGCATAAGTGTTCGCAATAAAGCTAATAGAATCCTTGGCTTCATATCAAGAAGCATAAATAATAGGAGTCCTCAGGTTGTTCTTCAACTCTATACATCCTTGGTTAGGCCTCATTTAGATTATGCTGCACAGTTTTGGTCACCGTATTACAGAATGGATATAAATGCTCTGGAAAATGTACAAAGGAGGATGACAAAGTTGATCCCATGTATCAGAAACCTTCCCTATGAGGATAGACTAAGGGCCCTGAATCTGCACTCTCTAGAAAGACGTAGAATTAGGGGGGATATGATTGGTGTATAAATGGAAGACAGGAATAAATAAAGGGATGTAAATAGGTGCTGAAAATATCTAGCCTAGACAGGACCGCAGCAATGGTTTTAAGTTGGAAAAATTCAGATTCAGGAAGGATATAGGAAAGTACTGGTTTGGTAATAGAGTTGTGGGTGAGTGGAACAAACTCCCCAGTACAGTTATAGAGGCCAGAACGTTGTGTAGCTTTAAAAATAGGTTGGATAAATACATGAGTGGATATGGGTGGGTGTGAGTTGGACCTGATAGCATGTGCTACCAGGTCGGTTGCCGTGTTCCTCCCTTAAGTCAATGTGACCTGACCTGACTAGGTTGGGTGCATTGACTTAAGCCGGTAGGAGACTTGGACCTGCCTCGCATGGGCCAGTAGGCCTTCTGCAGTGTTCCTTCGTTCTTATGTTCTTATTTGAGTATGCTCCACTTTCTTGGTTTGCCTGCCCCCTCCCCCTCACATCATCTGCGACTGCTTGACAGAGTAGAGAACAGAGCAAGACGTCTCATGGTAAGACACATATGCAACAGTTAGACAACTTTATTCCGAAACGTTTCGCCTACACAGTAGGCTTCTTCAGTCGAATACAGAAAGTAGGCAGGAACAGTAGAGATGTGAAGACGATGTAATCAGTCCATCACCCTTAAAGTCGTAGAATTTGAGGTTGTCAGTCCCTCGGCCTGGAGAAGTTCAGTTCCATAGTCAGGAACTATCTGAAGATCAAGCGACAGTGCGGAGACTTAAATACTGTCGGAAGGAGAGGTGCAGGGTAGTAGTAGTAGTAGTAGTAGTAGTAGTAGTGAGAGGCCACTGAGAGGTCATGTCCCTCTCAGATCAAACACTTCTCACTTGAAAAGCTTGTCCAAGGTGTTTTCTGTACCAAGATGCCACGTGTTGCAGAGTCGACAGGATAACACAAAATGGTATACAATACCGACAGGGTTTTTAGGTAAGACACATATGCAACGTTTCGGAATAAAGTTGTCCTAACTGTTTTCATATGTGTCTTACCTAACAACCTGTCGGGATTGTATACCCTTTTGATGTTCATCTTGTCAGACACTGCAACACGTGGCATCTTTGGGAACAGAAAACACCTTGGACAAGCTTTTCAAGTGAGAAGTGTTTTATCTGAGAGGGACATGACCTCTCAGTGGCCTCTCACTACTACTACTACTACTACTACCCTGCACCTCTCCTTTCCGACAGTATTTAAGTCTCCGCACTGTCGCTTGATTTTTCAGATAGTTCCTGACTATGGAACGAACTTCTCCAGGGCCCAGGGACGAAACCCCCAAATTCACGACTTTAAGGTGTGGACTGATTACATCGTCTTTACATCTCACTGTTCCCGCCTACTTTCTGTTTCGACTGAAGAAACCACTGTGTAGGCAAACGTTTTGGAAAAAAAGTTGCTAACTGTTTGGGGATATAAACACAAAAGCAGATAATGTGACCTTTATTGACTACGTTCGCCCACACAGTGGCCTTTTTCAAGTCACAAACAGAACACCGGGGTGGGAAGGGAAATACCCCCGGTATTTTTGTTTTGACTTGAAAAAGCCCCCTGTGTGGGGGAAACGTTCAATAAAGGATCACATTAACTGCATTGTGTTTATATCGCCATTGGTCGTATTTTATACCATTATTTTATTGAAATTTGCATATGTGTCTTTCCTAACAAACCCGCGGTATTGTATACCATTTTTATGTTCAAGACGTTTTCATCTCTCGCCTGGACCATCCTGGTAGTCTGTCCCTTTCAGCAAACCCTTTAACACAGAGGGATGTGGGGGGCCTTACTGTTATGTACAAGGCCAATTTTGTCAAAAATACCACACTTGGATCCACTTTGAGGACAGCGGAAACAAGTTTTATGCCCAAGACGGGGGAAAAAGCACTTCACCCGGTGTACCCTTCTCCAGAACAACACTTCTGAGTCATTTTTTCCCCCGGATGATTCGAGCAGGTACACATTCGTACAGCATAATGGCATCAACGAAAAAGTCAGTTGATCAAAGAAAATGGTGGCCCACATAACTAAAACTAAGAACGAAAAGGGAAACGCAGAAAGGCCTACTGGCCCATGCGAGGCAGGTCCAAGTCTCCTACCGGCTTAAGCCAATGCACCCAACCTAGTCAGGTCAGGTCACATTGACTTAAGGGAGGAACACGGCAACCGACCTGGTAGCACAAGCTATCAGGTCCAACTCACACCCACCCACATCCACTCATGTATTTATCCAACCTATTTTTAAAGCTACACAACGTTCTGGCCTCTATAACTGTACTCGGGAGTTTTGTTCCACTCATCCACAACTCTATTACCAAACCAGTACTTTCCTATATCCTTCCTGAATCTGAATTTTTCCAACTTATAACCATTGCTGCGAGTCCTGTCTAGGCTAGATATTTTCAGCACACTATTTAAATCCCCTTTATTTATTCCTGTCTTCCATTTATACACCTCAATCATATCTCCCCTAATTCTACGTCTTTCTAGAGAGTGCAGATTCAGGGCCCTTAGTCTATCCTCATAGGGAAGGTTTCTGATACATGGGATCAACTTTGTCATCCTCCTTTGTACATTTTCCAGAGAATTTATATCCATTCTGTAATACGGTGACCAAAACTGTGCAGCATAATCTAAATGAGGCCTAACCAAGGATGTATAGAGTTGAAGAACAACCTGAGGACTCCTATTATTTATGCTTCTTGATATGAAGACAAGGATTCTATTAGCTTTATTGCGAACACTTATGCACTGTTGTCTTGGTTTCAGATTACTGCTAACCAGAACTCCTAAATCTTTTTCGCAATCCGTAATATTAAGATCTACATTATTTAGTTTATATGTGGCATGGTTATTATCCTGTCCAACATTTAGAACTTTGCATTTGTCTATATTAAACTGCATCTGCCACTTCTCCGACCACTGCATCAGTCTATTCAAATCTTCCTGGAGTGCTCGAATGTCCTCGTCAGAATGAATTCGACGGCCTATTTTGGTGTCATCGGCAAACTTGCCGATGTCACTCTTTATGCCCTCATCTATGTCGTTTATGTAGATTGTGAACAGCAGGGGGCCCAACACTGACCCCTGTGGAACACCGCTCGTGACGCTTCCCCACTCTGATTTCTCCCCATTTATGCAAACTCTCTGCTGCCTATTTGTCAACCATGCCTCTATCCAGGAAAAAATTTCTCCTCCTATTCCATGTGCTTTAATTTTCCTCAATAGTCTCTGATGTGGGACCCTGTCAAAAGCCTTACTGAAGTCCATATACACAATATCATATTCATTACCATGATCTACCTCCTCAAATACCTTAGTGAAAAAAGTTAATAAATTCGTAAGGCAGGAACGCCCCTTTGTAAAACCATGCTGAGATTCGTTGATTAATTTATGCTTTTCAAGGTGGCTACGAACTGCCTCGGCAATTATTGATTTCATAAATTTTCTCACTATAGAGGTTAGGCTTATTGGTCTATAGTTCGAAGCTAAGGACCTGTCACCTGTTTTGAAAATAGGTATCACATTTGCCATTTTCCACTTATCTGGCACCATGCCAGTTTGTAGTGATATGTTGAAAAGATTATCAAAGGTATGCTAAGCTCCTCTTTACATTCCTTTAGAACCCTTGCATACAGTTCATCAGGGCCAGGGGATTTGTTAGATTTTAATTTATCTATTTGCCTAAGGACCATGTCACTTGTGACCCTAATCGTGCACAGTTTATTATCGTCCTGTTCTACATAATTTATCATTACTGGAATATCGCTGGTATCCTCCTGTGTAAAAACTGAGAGGAAGTATGTGTTAAAAATTCTACACATTTCCTTATCACTGTCAGTGAGCTGACCCGAGGAACTTTTGAGTGGGCCTATCTTGTCCCTGATCTTACTTCTGTATACCTGAAAGAATCCTTTTGGGTTAGTCTTCGATTCTCTTGCAACTTTAACCTCATAATCTCTTTTTGCTTTTCTAATTCCCTTTTTTATTTCTCTCTTTAACTGAATATATCGATTTCTTAATTGCCCCTCTCCTCTTTTGATTTGCCTATATATGCCTCTCTTTGACCAATCAGATATTTTAATCTATTGTTCATCCATTTAGGATCATTTTTGTTTGATCTGATTTCCCTATTTGGAACATAATTTGACTGAGCAGCTAGAACTATGCCCTGGAAAGCATCATATCGGCAACCATCACCACCTACCTGACCCTTAGTCAGGTCATTCCAGTTCAGCCCACCTAAGTAATTTTTCAGTCCTATGAAATCAGCCAAGCGAAAGTCAGGGACGGAGACTTGATTGCCATTATTAGGGGAATTCCATGATATATTAAAACTGAGTGATTTGTGATCACTTTCCCCAAGCTCATCATTAACCTCAAGATTATTAATTAGTGTTTCCCTACTGGCAAGAACCAAGTCAAGGAGGTTATTTCCCCTAGTTGGCTCTGTCACAAACTGTTTTAAAAAACAATCCTGGATCGTATCAAGAAAGTCACCTGACTCTAAATTTCCTGTCAAATTGCTCCAGTCATTCTGTCTATAGTTGAAATCTCCCATTAGCACAACATTTTCGTATGTAGATGCCTTACGAATTTCGTCCATAGAAGTTTACTGCACCCCCTATCAAGATTTGGGGCCCTGTAAATCACACCCAAAATTAGTTTTTCTCGGCCCTCGAGAAGCTGTAACCAAACAGATTCAGTGGCTGACGCTTCTAATTTAATATCTTGTCTAACACAACAATTTAAATTGTCTCTGACATACATCGCTACTCCACCACCTTTCCTGTTGACCCTGTCAGTGTGGAATAATTTATAGCCTTGTATGTGACATTCAGAGGGCATCTCTCTATCTTTCAGATTGAGCCAGGTCTCTGTTATAGCAATAATATCTATGTTTCCTGCACTTGCAATTAATCTTAGCTCATCTAGCTTATTTCTTACACTCCTGCTATTAGTATAGTAAACCTTAAACCGTAAACCTTATGGCTCCAACTTCATCATATTCCCTACTTGTATGTTTCATAACAATAAAAATGCTTTCAAATGAGCTGATGTAGGTAACAGCTCTTAGCTTGACAATAAAGTTAAGAATCCTTAACCTGTAAATGAAATTAGGGATCCTTAACCCAACCTAGTCAAACTCTGTAAAAGAGAAAGAGAGAGAGAGAGAGAGAGAGAGAGAGAGAGAGAGAGAGAGAGAGAGAGAGAGAGAGAGAGAGAGAGAGAGAGAGAGAGGAGAGAGAGAGAAGAGAGAGAGAGAGAGAGAGAGAGAGAATAAGAGAAGAGAATGGAAAACGAGAGGAAAGAACGAGAGAGAATCCTTACAATTATCTCAAGTGGTATCTGGGCTGGCATGAATTATTATATTCGTGCGGAAGCGCTAAACCTGCGGGGGCTATGCATCACCAGGGGACCGGGAGGCAATTAAATTTAATCCGAGGAAGCGAAGGCCAGCTCCGATTCCATTGATGAACAGCACTTGGCCAGGATACATACACACAATACTCAGGAACTCGACCAGGTCGCCTGGATGCCTAAAACAACACAACGTTTTAGATAATACGAAGTCGCTAAATAAAAAGAAAAGAGCTGTGACCCATACAGGTTTAGCGAATGTTTTTTTTATTATAAAAACAGTTCACTAATAAATAATAATAATAATAATCTTTATTTCTACAAGTACAAGGTATACAGACCATAGCTGACTTACTATTATATAGAAAGTCGCTTGTTATGCAGATTATTTCGGGCAAATTAGGTCACTTTTGTTCCCAGGATGCGACCCACACCAGTCGACTAACACCCAGGTACCTATTTTATTGAAAGGTGAACATGGACAGCAGGTATCCTAAGGAAACACGACCTAATGTTTCCACCCGTACCAGGAATCGAACCATGGACCTCAATGTGTGAGCTGAGTGCGATACCAACTGAGTTACGGGACTCTCAAAAAACACTCTTAATAAAATTCTACTTTGAACTTGTGTGAGGCATCGTACTGAAATACCTGGTGGCCCGTAGCCTAGTGGAGAAAGTTCTCGCTTCACACGGTGAGGGGTCCGGGTTCGATTTCCGGCGAGGGCTGAAACATTGGGCGTGTTTCCTTACACAGGTTGTCTATGTTCACCCATCATTATAAAATGGGTACCTGGGTGTTAGTCGACTGATGAGGGTTACAGCCAGGGATAAAATTGACTTAATTTGCCAGAAATGCTCTGCTTAACAAGCGGCTTTGTACACAGCAACATGTCATTGATGTCAGGTAGGACTGAATACCTTGTACATGTACTTGTAGAAATAAAGATATTATTATTATTATTACTTATATGGACAAGCCTCCTTACACCCATACGTTCAATGAAATATTGTAGTAATTAATATACTAAAATAAAATAAACGTTAACACCGTATGGGTCACTGCGGTAGAAAAATGGTCTGACCTGTTCGTTTTCAGGTGTGAGTGTCATCAGGTACCTGTAGACTCCGTGCTGTCTCTCCACCCTGATGATGGAGCTGTTGGTGTCTTGGTCGTAGTCCCTGAGGGAGACGGGGCACTTCCATTAGTGTAGTAGAGGAGGCTGGGTTTATGGAATACGGGACATCTTTCTCGGAAAGAACAACAGCACACCTAGTTATTATTATTATAACAGTCACGGGAAAACGTTGATTCATAAGGGATCAGTTTGCACCTAGAGTCCAGAAGAATTAAAGTTTTAGATAAGCTGATCCTGGGCCACCAAGATGCGACTGTCAGGTGATATCAGTGTACTCCAGACGCTCTACCTGCATTACACCTCATTATCTGCCATATATATATATAATATATATATATATATATATATATATATATATATATATAATATATATATATATATATATATAATATATATATATATATATATATATATATATATATAATGCATCCACGATTATTTTAATAAAAAGAGAAGCGCTAAACTGTGTACGAAATGCATCCACGAACATGTGGTTCTTAGCAAATAACAAACTGCACTGGCCTGGAATCGAACCCTCGATACTTTAACACGCCGCATCAGGAGTGACATGTCCAGTGCTTCTGGACACGTGATGTATGTGACATTGGTGGTTAAGTGGTTTGAGAGCGTCTCGCAATTTTGACGGGCTACGAGGGTGACGTGTTTAAGTATCGAGGGTATATATATATTTATATTATTTTTATTAACACATCGGCCGCTTCCCACCAAGGCAGGGTGGCCCGAAAAAGGAAAACTTCCATCATCATTCACTCCATCACTGTCTTGCCAGAGGCATGCTTATACAGTTATAAAACTGCAACATTAACACCCCTCCTTCAGAGTGCAGGCACTGTACTTCCCATCTCCAGGACTCAAGTCCGGCCTGCCGGTTTCCCTGAACCCCTTCCTAAATGTTACTTTGCTCACACTCCAACAGCACGTCAAGTCCTAAAAACCATTTGTCTCGCTTTGCTCCTCTCTAACACGCTCAGGCACGCTTGCTGGAAGTCCAAGCCCCTTGCACATAAAACCTCCTTTACCCTCTCCCTCCAACCTTTCCCAGGACAAGCTCTACCCCGCCTTCCTTCCACTACAGATTTATACACTCTCGAATTCATTCTGTTTCGTTCCATCCTCTCTGCATGTCCAAACCACCTCAACAACCCCTCCTCAGCTCTCTGGATAAGAGTTTTGGTAATTCCACACCTCCTCCTAATCTCCAAACTACGGATTCTCTGCATTATATGCACACCACACATTGCCCTCAGACATGACATCTCCACTGCCTCCAGCCTTCTCCTTGTTGCAACATTCATCACCCATGCTTCACACCCATATAAGAGCGTTGGTATAACTATACTCTCATACATTCCCCATCTTTGCTTTCATGGATAAAGTTCTTTGTCTCCACAGACTCCTAAGTGCACCACTCACCTTTTTTTCCCTCATCAATTCTGTGATTCACCTCATCTTTCATAGACCCATCTGGTGACACGTCCACTCCTAAATATCTGAATACTTTCACCTCCTCCATACTCTCTCCCTCCAATCTGATATCCAATCTTCCGCTACCTAATTTGTGTGTGTGTGTGTGTGAGAGAGAGAGAGAGAGAGAGAGAGAGAGAGAGAGAGAGAGAGAGAGAGAGAGAGAGAGAGAGAGAGAGAGAGAGAGAGAGAGAGAGAGAGAGAGAGAGAGAGAGAGAATATTGTAAAAATATATTAGAATTCCCATTGTTTTACATACAGGGCGGGCCAAAAGTAGGCTTACATTTAGTAGGTAAGCACTTAACTCCCGCACCTGCTGGGCATTTTCACACTTCCAATACTGGTTTAGTATTGGAATACTGGTTTGGAATAATAGTTTGGAATTATGGTTTCGATAAATTAAATCGATAACGTGAACAAATAGTGAAACAACTGTAAGCCTACTTTTGGCCCATCCTGTACACTGACGTGGAGAAACGCTAAACCCGTACGTGGCATCACGTCTGGGGAAAGGCAGGTAATTAGTCTTAGTAGTGACACCTGATCGGAACCACTAAAATTAAAAAAAAATAACAAAAAAAAAATATTGGTCATGGCTGGGTTTGACTCACCATAAAGACACTTTATTTATCAAGTGCCTCTAGTCGGTGCACAAAGCGGATAAGAACATAAGAACGATGGAACACTGCAGAAGGCCTACTGGCCCATGCGAGGCAGGTCCAAGTCTCCTACCGGCTTAAGCCAATGCACCCAACCTAGTCAGGTCAGGTCACATTGACTTAAGGGAGGAACACGGCAACCGACCTGGTAGCACAAGCTATCAGGTCTAACTCACACTCACCCACATCTACTCATGTATTTATCCAACCTATTTTTAAAGCTACACAACGTTCTGGCCTCTATAACTGTACTTGGGATACAACCTAAAGATTTCAAATGTAATACAAATAATAGTAATAAAGTATACAGACCTAGCTGACATCACTTGAAAAACCCTTGTTATGAAGAGCATTTCGGGCAAATTAGGTCAATTTTGTCCCCAGGATGCTACCCACACTAGTAGACTAAAACCCAGGTACCTATTTTACCGATATGTGAACATGGACAGCAGATGTCTTAAGGAAACACATATTAATGTTTCCACCCGTACCGAGGATCGAACCCCGGACCTCAATGTGTGAGACAGCAATCGAGCTACAGGCTACGTTCACTAACACCTATCACTAACAATGAGGTGTTTTGTCGTATACTGTAAGGTTTGCATAAAGGTGTCTCTGGTAGGTCTGGACACTCTAAGATATAATGTTCCAGTGTATGGACCTATATTTGTCCACACTGTATTTTATGTCGCTGACATCTCCATATAAACCGTTCTGCTAGAGATACTTATACCCCAGCCATAGTCTAGCAGTAAGAATATCTTGCAATCTACTGACCTTGTTACTTTCTCAACACATGTTTGACTTTACGCATTTAATTGTGAAGGATAGTGGATTTGCTAGTTTCTATTTGTACTATTCTACTTTCCTCAAGCTCGTTTGCTAGTTCTTCTCTGACAATGTTTCCTAACCTAGCAAGGGTATTAGCACAGAAGAGTACTTACCAAGCAAGGGTATTAGCACAGAAGAGTACTTACCAAGCAAGGGTATTAGCACAGAAGAGTACTTACCAAGCAAGGGTATTAGCACAGAAGATTTACTTACCAAGAAGGGTATTAGCACAGAAGAGTACTTACCAAGCAAGGGTATTAGCACAGAAGAGTACTTACCAAGCAAGGGTATTAGCACAGAAGAGTACTTACCAAGCAAGGGTATTTACACAGAAGAGTACTTACCAAGCAAGGGCATTTACACAGAAGAGTACTTACCAAGCAAGGGTATTTACACAGAAGAGTACTTACCAAGCAAGGGTATTAGCACAGAAGAGTACTTACCAAGCAAGGGTATTTACACAGAAGAGTACTTACCAAGCAAGGGTATTAGCACAGAAGAGTACTTACCAAGCAAGGGTATTAGCACAGAAGAGTACTTACCAAGCAAGGGTATCTGCACAGAAGAGTACTTACCAAGCAAGGGTATTAGCACAGAAGAGTACTTACCAAGCAAGGGTATTAGCACAGAAGAGTACTTACCAAGCAAGGGTATCTGCACAGAAGAGTACTTACCAAGCAAGGGTATTTACACAGAAGAGTACTTACCAAGCAAGGGTATTTACACAAAAGAGTACTTACCAAGCAAGGGTATATACACAGAAGAGTACTTACCAAGCAAGGGTATATACACAGAAGAGTACTTACCAAGCAAGGGTATGTACACAAAAGAGTACTTGCCAAGCAAGGGTATATACACAGAAGAGTACTTACCAAGCAAGGGTATTTACACAGAAGAGTACTTACCAAGCAAGGGTATTAGCACAGAAGAGTACTTACCAAGCAAGGGTATATAGCACAGAAGAGTACTTACCAAGCAAGGGTATTAGCACAGAAGAGTATTTACCGAGCAAGGGTATTTGCAATGAAGAGTACTTATCAAGCAAAGGTATTTACACAGAAGAGTACTTACCAAGCAAGGGTATTAGCACAGAAGAGTACTTACCAAGCAAGGGTATTAGCACAGAAGAGTACTTACCAAGCAAGGGTATTAGCACAGAAGAGTATTTACCAAGCAAGGGTATATACACAGAAGAGTACTTACCAAGCAAGGGTATTTACGCAGACGAGTACTTACCATGCAAGGGTATTTGCACAGAAGAATACTTACCAAGCAAGGGTATTTGCATAGAAGAGTACTTACCAAGCAAGGGTATTTACAAAGAAGAGTACTTACCAAGGAAGGATACTCATATCTTTACTGTGGTCGAAGGGCTGGAAGGGTGGAAGGGTGAAGTTCCCTGAGGACACATTACCAGCCTTCACTCTCACACACGAACTCTTAATTATGGACGGCAGACAAAACGTAGCTCCGCCAGCCTGCACAATCCACAAACTCCATCAAAAACTATGAACACTGAAGATCCTCTATAATCTAAGTCACTATCACACTCAAATTAATTTTTAAAGGGATTGACAGGTAAACCAGTGGCAGGCCTCGGTCAGATGACCCGAGGCTCCAGTGGCAGGTCATCATGTGACCCGGTCAGAAAACACTTGTCCTGTTTCCTGACAAATCTTACCTAACATCTAAAATCGTAACAGCACTACTGTGAAAAAGACACAATTGCAGAGAGGAACTTTAGTGAAACGTTTCGCCAGTGGAGGAGGTTTCTCGCGTCAATCTGTTTCCCAGGCGAAATTTCCCAATAAAGTTCCTCAACTATTATTGTCTCCGCGACTGTAAGTAACTCAGTGCTCGAAACAAACGAGATTCCATTTCCTTTTTATTGTATTAAATATAATTAGACACATCAGTAGTGTGCTGCTACCCAATTTTATATGACAGTTATACAATGGGAACAAAAGCTATGTTCCCAGAAGTTCTGTATTCCAGGAGGGGGTTAAGAGAGGCAGTTAGGCCGGAAGAAGCTAGGAGACTTGAACCTTCTGTATTATTATTATTAATTATTATTATTATTATTATTATTATTATTATTATTATTATTATTATTATTATTATATAAGAGCCACTATCGATTCGAAATCCTGGTAAAGCAATCAAACCTAACTATGGTGTAACCACTTAACCCTGGCCTGTCTGATATTCTCGGGATAAGCGTGGTTTGGCCATTTAGAAAAGATGGAGCAAAATAGGATGACTTGCAGGGTGTATAAATCGTAGTAGGCGGGGTAGGGGTCGTCCTGGGAAAGGATGAAGGGATAGGGGTAAAGGAGGTTTTATGTGCAAGATTCTTAGACAGAGAGCAGGCACGTGTGAGCGTGTGTGTGTTAGATAGATTTAGATTAGATTTTGCCACCGAAGTGGCTAGTTTATTGTGCACCCCATATCCATCCTGTGGACGGTAGCGCGAGAGCATATGGATACACAAAAGGCCTAGGAACTAGGCCCCAAAGGGCTAACAGGAATACATATGGATTTATATCTACATATCTATAGTTCACTCATATCTTATCTGTTACAAGCAAATTTAGGAAATTTGCTTAGTATATCTGGTATTTTATTTTCATTAATAAGATATCTTGACATGTCACATAGGTTATTATACTGTCTGTCTCTGTATTCCTCAATAAGTGGACAATTAAGCACATAGTGTTCAAGAGAGTGACCATATGCCTGATCACATAATTTACATTTAGTTTGATCATCATCTGTGTGTCTCCCAAACTGCCAGAAGTACTTGTAACCAAGCCTAAGTCTGGCCACTACAACATCAGTCAGTCTGTTCACATTGCAAGTTGTTCCATAAACATACTTATCTACGTTCATGTTATCATAGTGGGTTATAGATCTACTCAGGCTTCTAACTGCATTCCTATAACAATCATTTTCATTATTTACTTCTCTCCTAATATTATTCCTAATGCTAGACACAGTTATACCAAAGTTATATTCTACATTCTCCTTCTCGATACTCTTCTTGGCTAACATATCAACTTTATCATGAAGGAGTAATCCAATGTGTTAAAGTTGATATATTAGCCAAGAAGAGTATCGTTAGATAGGAATGAGTAGAGATGAATGGTTTTTGGGACTTGACGAGCTGTTGGAGTGTGAGCAGGGTAATATTTAGTGAAGGGACTCAGTCAAGTCCGGTTAGCCGGACTTGACTGCTGAAGGTGGGAAGTACAATGCCTGAACTTTAAAGGAGAGATTCGGGATATTTGCTGTTTGGAGTGACATCTAAACTGTCGTATCCGCGCGACTTTGGCAAGACAATGATAGCAAGAGTGATAGTGAAAGAGTTTCTTTTTTTAGGTCATCCTGCCTCGGTGGGAAACGGCCAGTGTGTTAAAAAAAAAAACGTGCGTGTGGAGATAAAAGGTATAGAATACCAACACGATGGAAAAATGAACACAAATGCAGTATAATGTGATCATTTACCGACTACGTTTCGCCCATACAGTGCGCTTTATAAAGCCCACTATACTCAATAAAGCATCGCATTATACCGCATCTGTCTTTATTTTTCTAAGACATATCTCTGTATTAAGGTTGATCTCGCAGGTATACCGTTGCTCTTATCTACTTGAACCGAGTAGCATCTATGCTCTTGTCAACGGTTGAGTGTGGCTAACAACTGGAGGGGTGACCACCTGGGTATATGGCCGCCATAATGTAGGGGAATTTTGATGACAAAACTCTCCTGTATATCTCAGGATACACCATGTTACTCTCAGCTACTAGCACGCTACTCTCAGCTACTAGCACGCTACTCTCAGCTACTAGCACGCTACTCTCAGCTACCAGCACGCTACTCTCAGCTACTAGCACGCTACCTCAGCTCACCGCACCCCCCTACCCCTCAGCTACTAGCACGCTACTCTCACTACTTCACGCTTACTCTCAGCTACCGCACGCTACTCTCAAACTACTAGCACGCTACCCCCTCCCAACTACTAGCACGCTACTCTCAGCTACCAGCCGCACGCTACTCTCAGCTACTAGCACGCTACTCTCAGCTACTAGCACGCTTCTCTCAGCTAGCACGCTACTCTCAGCTACCAGCACGCTACTCTCAGCTACCAGCACGCTACTCTCAGCTACTAGCACGCTACTCTCAGCTACTAGCACGCTTCTCTCAGCCAGCACGCTACTCTCAGCTACTAGCACGCTACTCTCAGCTACCAGCACGCTACTCTCAGCTACTAGCACGCTACTCTCAGCTACTAGCACGCTACTCTCAGCTACTAGCACGCTACTGTCAGCTAGCACGCTACTCTCAGCTACTATCACGCTACTCGCAGCTACTAGCACGTTACTCTCAGCTAGCACGCTACTCTCAGCTACTAGCACGCTAATCGCAGCTACTAGCACGTTACTCTCAGCTACTAGCACGCTAATCGCAGCTACTAGCACGTTACTCTCAGCTACTAGCACGTTACCCTCAGCTACTAGCACGCTACTCTCAGCTACTAGCACGCTACTCTCAGCTACTAGCACACTACTCTCAGCTACTAGCACGCTACTCGCAGCTACTAGCACGTTACTCTCAGCTAGCACGCTACTCTAAGCTACTAGCACGCTACTCTAAGCTAGCACGCTACTCTCAGCTACTAGCATGCTACTCTCAGCTACTCGCACGCTACTCTCAGCTACTAGCATGCTACTCTCAGCTACTAGCACGCTACTCTCAGCTACTAGCACGCTATTAGCAGCTACTAGCACGATATTCTCAGTTACCAGCACGCTACTCTTAGCTACTAGCACGTTTCTCAGCTACTTGCACGTTACTCTCAGCTGCTAGCACACTACTCTCAACTACTATCACGCTAATCTCAACTACTAGCACGCTACTCTCAGCTACTAGCACGTTACTCTCAGCTACTAGCACGCTACTCTCAACTACTAGCACGCTACTCTCAGCTACTAGCACACTACTCTCAACTACTATCACGCTACTCTCAACTACTAGCACGCTACTCTCAGCTACTAGCACGCTACTCGCAGCTACTAGCACGCTGCTCTCAACTACTAGCACGCTACTGTCAGCTACTAGCACACTACTCTCAACTACTATCACACTACTCTCAACTACTAGAAACGCTTACTCAACAAACTAGCACGCTACTCTCAGCTACTAACACGCTACTCTCAGCTACTAACACGCTACTCTCAACTACTAACACGCTACTCTCAACTACTAGCACGCTACTCTCAGCTACTAACACACTACTCTCAACTACTAACACGCTACTCTCAGCTACTAGCACACTACTCTCAAGGACTTTCACACTACTCTCAACTACTAACACGCTACTCTCAACTACTAGCACGCTACTCTCAGCTACTAGCACGCTATTCTCAGCTACTAGTACGCTACTCTCAGCTACTAGCACGCTATTTTCAGCTACTAGCACGCTATTCTCAGCTACTAGCACGCTACTCTTTAACTACTAGCACTCTACTCCCATCTACTAGCACTCTACTCTCAAGTACTAACACGCTACTCTCAGCTACCAGCATGCTACTCTCAGCTACTAGTACACTATCACCTACTAGTAAACTACTCTCAACTACTAGCATGCTATTCTCAGCTACTAATACAATACTTCAACTAGCACATTACCAGCATCATTCAGCTGCTAGCACACTACCAGCATCATTCAGCTTCTAGCACTCTACCAGCATCATTTAGCTCCTAGCACACTACCAGCATCATTCAGCTGCTAGCACACTACCAGCATCATTGAGCTCCTAGCACACTACCAGCATCATTGAGCTCCTAGCACACTACCAACATCATTCAGCTCCTAGCACACTACCAGCATCATTGAGCTCCTAGCACACTACCAGTATCATTGAGCTCCTAGCACACTACCAGTATCATTCAGCTCCTACCATACTACCAGCATCATTCAGCTCCTAGCACACTACCAGCATCATTCAGCTACTAGCTCACTACCAACATTCAGCTCCTAGCACACTACCAACAAATTCCTAGGGCACTACCAACATTCACTTCCTAGCTCACTACCAACATTCACCTCCTAGCACACTACCAACAAATTCCTAGGACACTACCAACATTCACCTCCTAGCTCACTACCAACATTCACCTCCTAGCTCACTACCAACATTCACCTCTAGCTCACTACCAACATTCAGCTCCTAGCACACTACCAACAAATTCCTAGGACACTACCAACATTCACCTCCTAGCTCACTACCAACATTCACCTCCTAGCTCACTACCAACATTCACCTCCTAGCTCACTACCAACATTCACCTCCTAGCACACTACCAACAAATTCCTAGGACACTACCAACATTCACCTCCTAGCTCACTGCCAACATTCAGCTCCTAGCACACTACCAACAAATTCCTAGCTCACTACCAACATTCACCTCCTAGCTCACTATCAACATTCACCTCCTAGCACACTACCAACAAATTCCTAGGACACTACCAACATTCACCTCCTAGCTCACTACCAACATTCACCTCCTAGCTCACTACCAACATTCATCTCCTAGCTCATTACGAACATTCACCTCCTAGCTCACTACCAACATTCACCTCCTAGCTCACTACCAACATTCACCTCCTAGCTCACTACCAACATTCAGCTCCTAGCTCATTACGAACATTCACCTCCTAGCTCACTATCAACATTCACCTCCTAGCTCACTACGAACATTCACCTCCTAGCTCACTACCAACATTCAGCTCCTAGCTCATTACAAACATTCACCTCCTAGCTCACTATCAACATTCACCTCCTAGCACACTACCAACAAATTCCTAGGACACTACCAACATTCACCTCCTAGCACACTACCAACAAATTCCTAGGACACTACCAACATTCACCTAGCTCACTACCAACATTCACCTCCTAGCTCACTACCAACATTCATCTCCTAGCTCATTACGAACATTCACCTCCTAGCTCACTACCAACATTCACCTCCTAGCTCACTACCAACATTCAGCTCCTAGCTCACTACCAACATTCAGCTCCTAGCTCATTACGAACATTCACCTCCTAGCTCACTACCAACATTCACCTCCTAGTGTGATGTAGTTCAGCTGGGCTTGTGAGGTCTCTGGGGAGACCTAATTTAACCAATTATATGGTCACACCTTGCCTTGGCAAACGTCTGTAGCCATGCCCACGTCTGAGGTCTTTTGTTCTTGACTGCGTCAGACCTATGCGTCAGGTCGTACACGTGGTTGTGGAGGGTGCTTGGACCACCATAAAAGCCCAAGGAAGAGCATGATCAGGAGATTCGAGCGGAGCTGCTGCTGGGGTGCAGAGCTCCTGAGCAGAGATTCGAGCAGAGCTGCTGCTGGGGTGCAGAGCTCCTGAGCAGAGACTTCGAGCGGAGCTGCTGCTGGGGTGCAGGGCTCGGGAGAAGGCTGCTGAAGTCTCTGGAGGAGACTGTTGGAGGCACTGGGCAGAGTACTGGCTTGGCCGTGCTGTGATGCTGTCTGCTATGCTGTGGCCGTGCTGTGATGCTGTCTGCTATGCTGTGGCCGTGCTGTGATGCTGTCTGCTATGCTGTGGCCGTGCTGTGATGCTGTCTGCTATGCTGTGGCCGTGCTGTGATGCTGTCTGCTATGCTGTGGCCGTGCTGTGATGCTGTCTGCTATGCTGTGGCCGTGCTGTGATGCTGCGATGCTGCCTAGCTCAAGAGGAGGAGCTGGCGGTGATGCTGCAGTGGTGTGTGAGGGATTCTGGCTGGTGTGCCAGGACAGGAGAATCTACTATGAAGGAGTTGCCATCCTCGGACATGTGGAAGGAAGTGAGCCGCGGAGATGGACTACAGCTGCTGGGACCAGCCTGCTTTCAAGGGCGGTATGGAGGCGTATCCTGCCTTGCTGGTCGACCTGTACGACCGGTATGCGGGGATGCCCTGCCAGCCATGAGAGACAATTGAGAGTGTGAGATGTCCCCAGCCTACTTTGACTTGCCAGAAGTGTTAGTGTTACCTGTGTGAAATAAGGTGACCTTGAATACGGTCCAGTGATTATGGCCGCCTTGTTTTATGAGGCCAGTGAATCCTAGTAGTGGCATAGGATAATGGAGGGTCTTAGCTGCGATGCCTGCCCTGTCTCGATTTTCAGATGTTGTAGTGTGCATGTGAAGTGTGCCGAAAATGCGACCTTGGTGGTCGTGAAGTGGTCCAGTTGCAGTTACTTGAAAGAATGCAACCCGTTGGAGCAGTTTTCCACGCCATAGAAGCCTAGAGAGGTTTGGCCCAATGGATAACGTGCGAGGGTGACTAGCATTGGCTAGTGCATTTCTAGTAGAAGTAGGGAAGGCACTGGAGCCCGATATTTAGGTTTAAGGAGAAATGACGGGTAAGGAGGCTTTGCACCAGAGAGCAACTATTATGCTGGCCAACTGCCAGGTGTACTGATTATGCTGCCTTGTGGTAGATGAGAAGGTTGAGGGAAATATATGTAGTTGAATAATTTTGTATTATGTATAATTTTGTCTTTGTATTGTAATAGATTTAAGGGATTAGGATTAAAATAGTCTAATAACTAGGACAAATTGTCCTAGTTCTCAGATATTTTAAATTGGGGGAGAAAGGGGGATGTGATGTAGTTCAGCTGGGCTTGTGAGGTCTCTGGGGAGACCTAATTTAACCAATTATATAGTCACACCTTGCCTTGGCAAACGTCTGTAGCTACGCCCACGTCTGAGGTCTTTTGTTCTTGACTGCGTCAGACCTAGGCGTCAGGTCATACACGTGGTTGTGGAGGGTGCTTGGACCACCATAAAAGCCCAAGGAAGAGCATGATCAGGAGATTCGAGCTGAGCTGCTGCTGGGGTGCAGAACTCCTGAGCAGAGATTCGAGCGGAGCTGCTGCTGGGGTGCAGAGCTCCTGAGCAGAGACTTCGAGCGGAGCTGCTGCTGGGGTGCAGGGCTCGGGAGAAGGCTGCTGAAGTCTCTGGAGGAGACTGTTGGAGGCACTGGGCAGAGTACTGGCTTGGCGCAGTACTCGTGCTGTGGTCTTGGGACCTGTGGCTTAGTTCCTGTGATGAACTGCCCTCTGAACTATATTGTAAGTTACATTCATTTTGGTCAAGTTGATTGTGCTCCCTGTCTCACTGCTTATACATACCATCCCATTTATCTAAACCAATGATGTTCTCCTGATCCCAAATATATTATTGTACAAAGACTTAATAATAAACCGTGTTTGAGTAGAATAGTAATATTCACTGTCCCCGTTATTTATTCTTATTTCCATTTATTTATGTTTAGTTAAAGTAGTGAGAGGGTGAGTAGTGTAGTGTGGCGGGTAGAGTAATGAGAGGTGAAGGTGTAGTCACCAGTGACCTCACATTACCTACCTACCTACCGCTCACCTCTCCTGTCATCTCCTACCACCTCGCCTGCATGTCCCCTACTAACTCCCTCCTCTTACCCCCATATTCCCCTAATCATCACCCCCCTACATGACACTAGCTCACTACCAACATTCACCTCCTAGCTCACTACCAACATTCAGCTCCTAGCTCATTATGAGCATTCACCTCCTAGTTCACTATCAACATTCACCTCCTAGCACACTACCAACAAATTCCTAGGACACTACCAACATTCACCTCTTAGCTCACTACCAACATTCACCTCCTAGCTCACTACCAACATTCTGCTCCTAGCTCATTACGAACATTCACCTCCTAGCTCACTATCAACATTCACCTCCTAGCACACTACCAACAAATTGCTAGGACACTACCAACATTCACCTCCTAGCTCACTACCAACATTCACCTCCTAGCTCACTACCAACATTCAGCTCCTAGCTCATTACGAACATTCACCTCCTAGCTCACTATCAACATTCACCTCCTAGCACACTACCAACAAATTCCTAGGACACTACCAACATTCACCTCCTAGCTCACTACCAACATTCACCTCCTAGCTCACTGCCAACATTCACATCCTAGCACACTACCAACAAATTCCTTGGACACTACCAACATTCACCTCCTAGCTCACTACCAACATTCACCTCCTAGCTCACTACCAACATTCACCTCCTAGCTCACTGCCAACATTCACGTCCTAGCACACTACCAACAAATTCCTAGGACACTACCAACATTCACCTCCTAGCTCACTACCAACATTCACCTCCTAGTTCACTACCAACATTCAGCTCCTAGCACACTACCAACAAATTCCTAGGACACTACCAACATTCACCTCCTAGTTCACTACCAACATTCAGCTCCTAGCTCATTACGAACATTCACCTCCTAGCTCACAACCAACATTCACCTCCTAGCTCACTACTAACATTCAGCTCCTAGCTCACAACCAACATTCACCTCCTAGCTCACTACTAACATTCAGCTCCTAGCTCACAACCAACATTCACCTCCTAGCTCACTACCAACATTCAGCTCCTAGCTCACTACCGAAATTCAGTTCCTAGCTCACTACCAACATTCAGCTCCTAGCTCACTACTAACATTCACCTAGCACACTACCAACACTGACCAAGCCGGTGGTAGAGGAAAGCGGTTATATAAGCCATTCCACTCAACTGTGTAAGCTGGACAGACAGACAACAAACTCGTATGGTTCATGGAGGCGTTGTACTTACCTCACAAATATTCTTACGGAGGACTATGTGTTTACTTCCATCACAAGTGTAAATATCCAAATGCACATCTGCAAGATTATTATTATTATTATTATTATTATTATTATTATTATTATTATTATTATTATTATTATTATTATTATTATTATTATTATTATTATTATTATTGTTGATATAAGTATATGATAAGTAAGACGCATGTGCAACAGACTGGTATCTCTACTCGGCAACGTTTCGCCTACACAGTAGGCTATTGCACGAGCAAAATTTTCGAAATAGATACCTAAGTGCTGCACATGTGTCTTCTTGTCGCTACTGTATATAATTATCACATTCACAAAATATAAGAAGAAAACGCGGATATCTTTATTGCTGAAACGTTTCGCCTTTGCAACAGGCAAAACGTGTGGAATATTGCATTTGTCTGAATGTAGCTAATTATGTACATAACAGTAAATGATAACAAAGATAATCATTATTTATCAATGTTACATAGACAAGTAGGAATTTGGGACACCTAGGTCGCAAAAAATGTCCCCCTTCGATACCTACCACTGTCATAACCACAAGTTGCTCTGGACCTATTAATTAAATGAAATATACATACACAAGGAATACTGGTAAATATATAAATTTGTGGACTGTATATTAAAAATAATAAATGGTTATATATATATACACAATTACATAACAGAAGGAAAATATATCTTAATATCACTCACCAATTTGACTGGAGATTAATGTGTATCATACTCAGAAAATCTCACTGTAACTAAATCTATGAAAATAATGCTGGCCAGAATTACACACAAATCTAGAGAGCTTATCTGAGGTTCCTGGAGAGGTCTTGTCCAGTCGCCTGATATCTCAAGTTATGCAGGAATGCACATCCACCAATTTCGCCTCCTATTTGAGAGGTGTCAACACAATTTTAACCTCTAGAGCACGAAAAATTCTTCCCATTACACCAACGTTTGTACAAAATTCAAAACCAAGATGGCGAGTCTCCTGCCCAGACGCAGGCTTTCCATTTTCTATGACAAATATTATTAAATGCAGTATAGGCCATCTATTTACCTATAAATTACCGTATTTCCGGAAAATATGTACAGTATTTTCCACAAAACGTTTCGGTAGTCTCAAACAACAATTGGTTATAATCCTAACCATAATTTTTAAAGAGGTGGAAAGGTAAGCCAGTGGAAGGCCTCGGTCAGATGACCAAAAGCTCCAGCGGCGGGTCATCACATGACTTGTCCTGTTTCCTTACAAACATTACCTAACCTAACTTAGTCTCAAGCAATAAATATATCCAAGTGATGCATTTTTATTATTTACATTTTCATTATTATTATATTCACGGGGAAGCTCTTTATCCGTAGGGGTATAGCGGAATTGGTAGACAATTAGGTTTGACTCACTACAGCCGCATCGAGGCAACTCCATCTATGGATCTCACTTCTCGAGGCTCACCTTTGTTACTGTCAGAGGGAATGCACTTAGTGGTTGTCACGTTGAGTACTGCATACCCTGGCATCGGTGCCTCTAACCGCAGGTCCTCCACCTCTGGTCCCGGTGCCATGATCAGGCCCCAGTTATAAAACGCTTCCGCATATCTCAATCCTGGTCATGAGAACAGTTGTGATACGAATATGTGAGATTGGGTGGGCAGATTTGGGGGTAATATGTGAGTACCAGGGAGGTAGATGTGGGTAACATGGAGGTAGATGTGGGTAGCAGGGAGGTAGATGTGGGTAACATGGAGGTAGATGTGGGTAGCAGGGAGGTAGATGTGGGTAGCATGGAGGTAGATGTGGGTAGCAGGGAGGTAGATGTGGGTAGCATGGAGGTAGATGTGGGTAGTTGAGAGGTATATGAAGGTAGATTGGAGTAGATAGGCGCCGGTAAAAGTTAAGAAATAAGGTAAAGAAAGGAGTTATTATCATTGTAATATTCATGGTGAAGCGCTAAACCTTACAGAGCCAAGGAAACTGTAAAGTAATCAGGTTTAATCTGATTAATGGGAGGCTAACTCCAATTTTCCGGAATCATAAGGATCTTACCTGTAAGACACGAGAAGGTAGAAAGAAGCAAGAGGATCATGTTCACTTCGGGATCAGCGCCGCTGCATCACTGAAATATGAAGGGCTGTGTCAGTATAACCTGTCCTCATCATTTTATAGCCTGTTATCAGTGTTTAACTTATCCTCATTATTCTATAGTTTTTCATCGGTGTATGACCTATCCTCATCATTTTACAGTTATCATGTTTGTAACCTGTCCTCATCATTTTAAAAGCTAGCATAACTTAGCCTAGCGTCAGTTCATAACCTATCCTCACTTTATAACCTATTATAACCTATTTGGCCCGCCATGAGGCGGGCCAAAACGACATAGGTTCGAATCCACCAGGTGGTATTCGTGCCGCGTGCCTCGTTGTGCTCCGGGTTTTCTTGTGTTGTCACGGTCGCTCTTACGTGCTAGAACTTTAATTTGTGCCATCAATCCTATACGATACATCCCTCTAGCGCCTGGAACCAATCTTGGGCGGAAAACATTATATACTGAGTCAAAAAAGGAGAATTAGTGTGCACTACCTAGCAGAGTTTACTGCGAGAGGGCAATCATAGGCCTGTGTTCCGTGTGCAAAATAATAATAATAGAACTTTTCTTTGTAAGAGGAAAGAAAGTCTCCCTGATAACATTGTGTATACATAGTGTATAGTGTATAATACAGTGGCTCCCTAGTATATAGATGATAAAGGCTAAAGTGTCATTTGAAAACAGGTGAATTTGTAAATGAAGTGATAAGCCTATAGAGGCAGGTGCCAGAAGTCGCCAGAAACTTACCACAGAGGTCAGCTGTTTTAATAATCTTCCTGGCCTGCTAGTGTACTCGCATATAATCTAGTGATACCAGTGAATAGCAGAATACAGTGTTGTAGTAGCAACTAACCAGTATTATAATGGTACTTAGTGGAGTGGAGTGACGTATACTATGAATTTCATATAACCTGTAGTTACCAGCGGTCGCAATATACACAACGAGAAGCAATTATTACTACAGAAAAAGCGTCCTTCCTCCAAAATTTCCACCAGTCAACTATAGTGATAATATAGCATTTATTGTGGTGGAGACGAAAAAAAAACTAGAAAAGCTAGATACAGCGATTGATAAACAAGGGTTGAGGCTCGACCGTTCGTCACTGTAGGAGCTGCCAGCAATCACCGGTTCTTCAACACGCAAGTTATACTTTTATATCAATCAAATCACATATTACTCGGGTAGATAATTTCCAGTAGATCCTTCATGTGTTAGCCCAAATCACCGACCAGTATGTTTTAAATAAGTGACCCACTGATCAGATTAGACTGGTTCCGAACCCTCGACTGGTCCGAACCCTTGACTGGTCCAAACCCTTGACTTGTTTCAAACGGATTCGTTGGACAATAAAGCAGACTGTAAACGGATGGGGTTGTAGGCGCCCTTATCAAACACAAACAATAAATATAAATCAGGAACGTACACGGTAAGCTGTCCAATATACAAGTACAGTTAGAAATAGAAATACAAATAGCTAGAGCTTCATTTAAGGAGGTTATTAATAGAGTATTCAAGAGGTTGCTAGTAGAATTACAGTAAATCAACCATTCAAATCATTATGAAGCTCTGTGTAGTCTGCAGTCAATCAAACAAACGGGCTTCCATGTGGATAAATTGTCATTTTTGTGGAAATTGGTGTCACGCCCCTTGTGCAGATATCCAAGAACTAGCTACAAGCAGTATTAAAACAGGGAAGTGTTTTTGGGTATGCCCAAATGAGATAAATCTGTGGACTAAAATCACAAGGGTATAAAAAGAGGATAACATCAAAGCTGCTTTCATAGAAAACCTGGAAGCTTTCTACAACAGATGGGAACATAAAAAGTCTGGGCTGAATGGTACTGCCCTTGATATGGCCATGTAGTCAGAAACTGTAAGGCTGGAGGTGATGTCCCGGTAGTCAGTAATGTGGGGCTGATAGTGCTGTCCTGGGAGACAGTAATGGTGAAGCTGGAGGTGCTGTCTGGGAGACAGTAATGGTGAAACTGGAGGTGCTGTCCTGGGAGACAGAAATGGTGAAGCTGGAGGGGGCTGTCCTGGGAGACAGTAATGGTTTAAGCTGGAGATTTTGTCCAGGTAGTCGGGAATTATACGCAGGAAGGAATACATATAAATGACCTCATAGGGGACAGGAGCCGTAGTGGGGAAACAAGTGTAGTCAAAAATAAGATAAAACCAATATTGCAAACTAGAAATACCACAGGAAATAGCAAACAAGAGGACTCCACTAGCAATAGTGAGGATATATTACCAAAAACAACTGGTGGGAGCTCCATTGTTGGTGCTAGGGAGGATAGGAATAAGACAGGGAAACATGCACCAACAGGGAATACAGTCACAGAAATCCAAGGCAAACGGAAACCAAGCATGTGCACATACTATGCACTTGGTATCTGCAGACATGGGAAATCTGGAAAAACAGACGGGACTTGCAACTATGACCACCCTAGAAAATGCCGTGCCCATATGACAACAGGAAAATGCAAACTCCCTTCCTGTAAGCTTTTTCACCCTGAAATGTGTACCTCTTCAGTACAGGAAAGACTGTGCTATAACTTAAATTGCCAGGCACACCATCTAAAGGGGACAAAAAGATACAAAACATCCAGGCCATGGGAAAACCTGGGTAGCCACAGCCACTCAAGAGGGAGAGGTTTTTTAGTGCCAGGAAGGAAAAAAAAAATGGCAGGAAATGGCAGAAATCGTACACCAAATCCCGTCATTCCTGGAGTGGAACCACAGTCGATGGCCTCCATTCCAAACCAACAGATACAGATACTAATGCCGGAAAAAAAAATCCCCCCCAGTACCAAAAATACCACCAGTCCGATGACATTTTCTTTGCAAAATATACAGGGTCTAAAGCCAGCAACAAAAAACCCAAAATACCTTTCATCCATGGACTGCTTGCAGAGGCAAAGGCAATGTTCACGGCTTTCATGAGACCCACATAAAGGATCATTTGGGGACAACGAAATATGGATCCCAGGTTAAAACCCTTTATACAGATGTGACAGAGTGAACAGGCAAAAGGGGGGGGGGGGGGGGGCTCTGGCTACATTGCAGTCACTTGTTTGCACGGGAACTGCTTAATGCTAAATGATGTAGTGGAAGTTTTAGCAGTAAAGATCGAGACCAAAACCTAGTCATTTGTGGTAGTCTACAAGCCTCCGGATGAAAACATCCCAGCAATTCCAGGAACAGCTGTTAAAAATTGACCACTGTCTGGAAAATTTTCCCGTCCTGCACCCAACATTTTTGCTCCTGGGGGATTTCAACTAAGGCACCTAAAATGGAGGAATTATAGAAATTTAAATATTGTTGCAGTAATAACACCAGGAGGCAGCCTGATGAAAACTCCACACTCAGACGAGCTTTTATATCTCTGCACAAAATTCAATTTAAACCAGCAAATAATAGAGCCTTACTAGACTGGAGAATACACTAAACTCATCTTCACTAACAATGATGATCTGAAAAGGGAAATGTCACCATATCAAAAACAATATACTCAGATCACAACATAATTGAGGTTCAAGACATGTATGCGCGGACCCCCAGCCGACTTTAATGGATTAGTCACGAGGGAGCATTCCCCAAAAATTCAATTTTAAATTTAACAAAAAACATAAAGTGGGACCAAGTAACCAAGTCCTAACCAAATATAAGCGGGGAAAGATATCTAAGAAACACAGACCCCAACTTATGCCTAGAACAGATTAACTTGGTGGCACTCGATGAATGCACAAGGCTTATTCCTCTAAGAAAAAGGAGGAGTGAAGTAAATAGAAAAGACAAGCGCTCCCTTTACAGGACGGAAAGAATAGCAGAGCGGCTAAAAGAGGCAATATATCTGAAAAAGCGTGGGAGATGGTCAGAGAATAGCAAGCATCGAACTTAAGTAAAGGAATTTTACAGAGTCAGGAAATTTGCCGGGAAGAAAACTAAAGCCATAAATGAAATCGAAGAAGAACCCAAGTATTTCTTCTCCTATGCAAATCAAGTCGAAAAACAACGTCCAGTATTGGGCCCCTACTTAAACAGATGGGTCCAACCCCATGACAGCAAACAAATGAGTGAGCTACTAGTCCCAAATGACTCAGTTTTAGCAAGCCCAAACCAGACTGAGAGTCGAAGATAAAATTAATTTTTTAAGGAAGCACAGAATTTGGTTAACACTGCCTATCCCGATGTTATCTGACGCCAAATGATTCGAACAGACGATAAATGGGCATGCCATGCACATGCCCAGGGCCAGACTCTATGGAACTCCCTTGTTATCAAGAACTGCAGAAGCCCTATCACGAGCCTTTACCATCCTATGGAGAGGGAGCAGGAAAGGGGTGCCACATTACTAAAAACAACAGAATAGCCCATCCACAAAGGGGCAGTTTAAAACAACAGCAAAGAACTACGACCAAAAGCACTAACATCCCCTATCATAAAAAATCTTGAAAGGGTCTAAGAAGCAAGACACCACCCATCTAGAAACCATCAGTTACAAAACCAGGGCAAAAAAAGGTTTAGAAAAAGGTCGCTCTGTTGTCCCCAACTATTGGATCCTACGACAAGGTCCTAGATGCACTAGAAGACAAAAAGAAAGCAGTGTAATTTTATACAGACTTGCCCAAAACCTTCGACAAGTGTGACCATGAGTAAAAGCACACAAAATGCGGTGCTAAAGGAATAACGGAAAGTCGGTCGATGGATCTATAATTTGTCACAAGAACAAAAAGAGAGCAGTAGTCAACCCGAGTAAAGTCCGAGGCGCTACGGTGAAAAGCTCTGTTCCACAAGGCACAGTACTCGCTCCCATCTTGTTCCTCATCCTCATATCTGACATAGACAAGGATGTCAGCCACAGCACCGTGTCTTCCTTTGCAGATGACATCCGAATCTGCATGACAGTGTCTTCCATTGCAGACACTGCAAGGCTCCAGGCGGACATCAACCAAATCTTTCAGTGGGCTGCAGAAAACAATATGAAGTTCAACGATGAGAAATTTCAATTACTCAGATATGGTAAACA